AAATCAAATTTTTACCCTTTGCTTCTAGCAGTACCCCTATTGTTTGTGTAATCATGCCCAGGGCCCAAAAATTTTTCTTTCATTTTGTTTGTTTGTTTGTTTTGTCTGTTTTTAGAGGATAATAAAGGAAATCAAAGGGCAAAGRATTAGAACCATTTTAGTTTTCCAAGGGATATTCAAAACCCCACTTCAGAGTGTTGCAAATGTTGAAGTGAGTCTTGTTTTTTAAAAAATCTGTAGATTGATCAAAATAAATAATTATATACATTCAATTAACAGGATGTTTGTAACACCTGAAAAAAGTTGTTTCAGACTTTTGTATTTATTACACACCAGTATTACCACTTTAAGACATCTTCATATTGCTGTGCTTCTCTAGCAGTAGAAAACACCAAAAACAGGCAAATAACTTCCATTGATGATGACACTATCTGATGACAGCGTATCTGAACTCTAACAAAAAACAGTTGGGTTTTTTCGCATAAAAGGAATTATCACCAGCTGGTATCCTGACATTTAGAGAAATATCTCTAATTGCAGAAAAAAATATTTCAGCAACTAGCTCTCGTAAAGGGCCAATCATTAATGTAAACATCAGGAAAATAGGAAACATTTAAAAACGAAATTAGAAAAAAAATAAAAAGTGACTCATCAGTGAAATATAAACATCAGTTATTGTGCCAGGCTTAGCATGTGTSTTTTATTTCTTTTTCTTTTTTCTTTTTTCCACCAAGGGAACTTGCTGTGCCAGAAAGGGTTAATTTGTTGATACAGCTGTGTGTYTAAAATATTGTAAATATGTAAATGCTGATGTTGCTTGCTTGTATGCCGGCACTACTGGGTGCAAATTGTTCTGCTTTTCCCAATATGACCTCCCACCAGCTTCCATCTGGGCAGATGTTTTAAACTAATTAGCGAAGGGGCAGATTTGTAGCACAAGACGTGACTCCTCGGGGGATCGAACAGTTCAATACAGTCTTTCCGTCTCTCATGCATGCCCACACACACATACACACAGACACCACTCTCGGTCTTGACAACTTTAGCTCCTGAAACGTCCACTGCCTTGTTAACAACTCAATGCCATTATAGCAGGTAGGTAAGAGTCACTCGGGCTTCATTCCCTGAGGCTACAAGAGAGATTCTTCTGACATCTCTGACCAGCTACACAAAAGCTTAATTTCTGCACAAATCTTCTTCTCGAAAGTCAGAAGATCACATAAAAATCAACTCTGCAGTCTGTGACAAATCCAATCACCCAGTGTCAATAAAAGTAAGCTTTTTTTTTCCTCAAACTCTGAAAAAGGACAGATTGAACTCAAACATCTCTACAACATAATGACACTGAACACGCCAGTCCTGGATGTGTTTTATTGAGTGACCAGAAGATGGCCCAAACATATTTTTGGTCCTGCAATAACCTCCATCTACCTGTCTTTTTTTGGAGGAGTCAAACAAAGAAAATAGTTGTTTCTGGAAAAAAAAAGCTGCAGTTAGATTGAGATGTAGAGTCAAAGGTTTCTCTGTCTACAACATACAAAATGGGAAAATACATTCTTCCCTTCCGTACTCCATTTTTAAAGCACAAATACATAGAAAAATATGTGGTATTTGTTCAATTTTCTTTGATTATTTTATTTTATTCTATTTTATTTATTTTATTTTTTTTTCATCTCTATCTTTTGGCCACTATTCAAAGTTTTAGACCATAGGTGAGGGTTGGTACATTGGTATTGATGAGCGGGGTTGGATAAAGAACCCATATGAGCGGGAGCCTCATAAGTGGGTCCATTGTTCTCCCCAAAAAGACACTGAGCTTTATTCAAACCTTTGTGTTCCTCAAGGGTTGGTACATATAATGGCTGGTAAACAGAGAACTTGACACCTCCTAAACCAGCACAGAGTCCACAATACTGCAGAAGCTGCTCCAATCTGACAATCTCCAGCTCTACCCCTCACTCCTGAACAAAACCCTGAGATCCTTAAATTCTTCCACTTGAGGCAGCACCTCACTCCAAACCCAGAGAGCTTACTGTATAAATCCGTAAATCAGTTTAACATAAGCATCTTTGCATCCAAATTCACAAAAACAGGTCTGCCATACTGAAAATCCCACA